CCAGATGTGTGCCGCAAGGCAGGGCTGAGGCTCTGGTGTTTAGTAAGGCAAAGCCTGCAGGGACTGCAAAGTCTGTTTGTTTGTTTGACTGATTGTTTGTTTAATGAACCAGTCTCCTCCTCCCTCTCTCCCCCAAAAAAGCTACTTTTGTTTTTCAGAAACGTTTTAGATGTAAACTCAGGCTTTCCCATTTTCCCCTAGCACAGCGGTTCTCAACCTTCCTAATGCCGCGACCCCTTAATACCATTCCTCATGTGGTGACCCCCCAACCATAAAATTATTTTCGTTGCTACTCTATAACTGTAATTTTGCAACTGTTATGAATCGTAATGTAAATATCTTTTTGTTTTCCGATGGTCTTAGGCGACCCCTGTGAAAGGGTCGTTTGACCTCCAAAGAGGACGCGACCCACAGGTTGAGAACCGCTGCCCTAGCGCGTCTTTTCTTCTAAAATATCCAAATATGTTCATTTTTTTCTAAGGGATGCCAAAACAATGGAATATTACATAAATTAAAATTTCCCCTATTAATTCTATTTACCATCACTGTCTCTGAACCCCAACATTCATTTATTTACCCACATGGATACATACATGTATGCACACATGTACCAAACAATATATGCATGTATATCTTTTTCTCTCCATGGTCTTAAAATACCTAGAAATGTTAATTTAGTCAGGTTCTTCCAAAACTTCTTTGGAAGTATTTTGAAACTCAGCCGATGCCTTGAAACTAATTATTAACCCAAGGGCCCTCAGATCTCCGGGGTCATTCTGCAACCCCCTGTACTTTTGTTACTTCAAATTGGTGTCCTTGACTTCTAGAGATACCCAAGTGAGTTCCCTGGGATTTTAAGTAAGGTGGTGGGTGTAGGATAGACAATGGCCAGCATACCTCCTTTAATGCACATGTTGAGGCCCTCCCTATGCATCAGGCGCTCTGCTTACATTTCTTGGTTAACCCTTCACCAACCCTGTGAGGTAAACGTTATCAGAGCTTTCTACCTACAGGGAAACTGAGGCTTTGGGGAGTTGTGCTAGTTGGTTAGAGACAAAATTTCACATTTACAGGAAGAATACCCCTGATTGACTGGGCCTTTCCACAGAGAGCCTAGGACTCATAAAGCACCCATAAAGCAAAAACAAGCTTTCATGCTGTCTCTGAGTCCTGACTGGGTTCAGTAGGAAAGAAAGAGAAAGCTGCATAATCCGAGGGAGAAATAAAGGGTGTCAGCTTCATTTCATTTTAGGCCAGAGTCACTGCATGCTGCAGTGGGGGAGGGGGTGTGTATACCCTTTTCTATTGGGTTGTCAGAAAAGTCATGACGTATGTTTTCTGTGTTTTTTCGTTGCAAAAATGCGTCATGACTTTTCCGACAACCCAGTAGTAACCTGCAGGTTCCGGGACAAACTGGGTCTTGCCTCATTGGTGAAGGGTATCTTGATGTTGCAACTGCAATAACAGACAGCGAGATATCCTGTTTGTTGCCTCAGGCTGTCATGGAGAGGCCAGCTGGGTCCTCTTTATCTCTAGGGCCGACTGAGTGGAGTCTGGATTTTTCCTGAGAGTTGCCAGTCACTCAGCTACTGGGCACCAATAACTCACCCAAAAATCCTTTCAAATATGTATATCTTTAAAAACCAGTGGTGCGCTTCCATATCAAACATGGTACAGCCATTTAAATTCAAATCCTGCATTATAATCTAGGTGTATCATCTTGCTTTATATTTATGGCCCACAGGCTTCAACTAAATTAGGAGACAAGCTAGTGAGCAAAGAAAGCAGTTTTTGTAGCCTTTGGGGAGGGGGCATAGGGGGGGATTCAGGTCCCCAAAAAGAATTGTCTTAGAGACCCCTAGAAATAAGGACATTAAGTAACATCCCCGGGGTCAGGATATCATATCACTGCCTTATGTAGGATGCCCCCCCCCCCCCCGCATCTCCTGTGTGATACCACTGATCCTCCTGCTGGAAGAATTGTTTAGAGAGATGATGTCTCTGTTACAGTAAATAGCCTTGTGGGAAAGAATAGAAGAAATAGGTTGTAGAAACACTCAATTAAGGGTATGGGCCATTGGATGTTACTCATTTGTGTCTTCGGTAGCCGCAGCAGCTTGCAAGCTGCCTTTTTATTGCATTATATTGTTATATGATTTTAGTTATTCTAGGTTGCCTTTATTTTGTTAGCCTTTTTTTACCCCAAAAGGATAAACATATTCAGCTGACCTGCATGGTCGCTGAAGGCACTTGATGTTTGAACATTCTATTTAAGGTTGAAGCCGGGGAGAGAATTAGGGCAGCATTGACTGTTGAAGGGCCTTTTTGCAATTCCCCGTCTCCTGAAACAGGACATCCTTCTTCCTCAGCTACCATTAACCTTTATTTAGAACAGAGTAAATCACTGGACTCAAAATTTATGTTGTACACTAAACTCTCCTGGTAAACAACTTGTCTTTTCACCAAATATCATTATTCAAAGTGTAAATGCAGTGCCCCAGAACAATTTCGCATTCTTATTGATGGTCTCTCACTGACCCAAAGTCCTCTGTGGGTTTTACTGTGTAACCCCTTGTGGTTGTGCAGCTGGGCTCTGCCTAACTCTTACAGAAACATGACTCACCAGTTGCTGAATACTTCTCACCAGTTTCGCCGGGTCAAATAAATAGATTTCGATTATGGGTTTTGTTGTTGCTGTTGCTTTTTTCTTTTTTCTCTTTTGCTTAGAAAAGACCTACCAGCCTCCAGGGAGTCTTAAGTGTTCCACAGATTGAGCTTTTCGCCTACTCATGGTTCTGGCATTTTGAGTTATGATGTTATACCTTCTTTAGATCTGGCGTGGAGGAAGAAGAGGGCTAGATGTTTGATGTTGAAAATATGGCGTTCAGAGCTTTTTTATCTTCTTCCTGGGCTGAAATGCAGTGGGGCGGGATGCAGAAGAGAGAGCCAGGCTCTCCGTGAGGCAGGCTGGAAGGGCAGAAGGTCGGTCCTGGTAATGAGAGGCAGTGACCCTCTCTGCCCACTTCACCCCCTGGCACACCGGCCAACTCCCACATTGAGTGCCCCAGCACTCTGACATGATCAGGGCACCTCCAGAAGCCCCAGCCTTGACCTTAACAAGTGAAGTGTATACCTTTGGGAGAAGCAATCATGAACCAAATGTCTGTGCTTATCTAGACCTGGAGAGAAGGTAGCATCTGGCCGTAGTGTGGTCCTCATCTTCAGAGAGATGTCAGGACACTTAATACTGCTTTCCACATGAGAAAACCAAAGAATGGATGAGGAGAGACATCGATGTGTGAGACCCAGCTGGACTTAGAAGCTGCCAGGTTTGAAATATCTGGAGAGAAAAGACAAGGCAGGGAGAAAAATGAGGCCTGTGCTTATTGCTACAAGTCTCCTCCCTGATACAGGCCCCTCCCTGATACAGGCCCCTCCCTGATACAGGCCCCTCCCTGACTCCCTCCTCAGAAATGCAAGGGTCCTACAACATGTAAGAGCTCCAGGACTTATGACTAAGGTGGGCTCTGGATTTTTCAGTTCTCTTGTTACTCTTAGAGGAGGGAGAGTGAAATAAAGTTTAAAGAGTGTCTTTCTCCTTAAAGGGCCCTGGGGAGTCCCACCATTTTGTCCGCTCTCAACTCAGTGCTAGACAACGTCTGGACTAGAATTCATGAGGCCTTAGCTTCAAATCCTCTAAATAGAACTGGGACTCTGAATGCCCCGAATCATGATAATGCCTACATTTCAGACCTGTGGAACTTAGGGTCTGCCTATCAGCCTGCTTGTTCAGGGATAGCAAGGGCTAATGGAACTTCCGTATCTAAGATTCAATACTTGTTTAAGATTAAGAATTTCTTATTCTTCTCCTGTGGCTATGCTATTACCCCTGTTAACAACAGTGTGTAGTACTCCAAATATACCACCTGGCCTTTTGGATGGACAGGCCTACTATTAGACGCTTTGTTTTCTGGACCAAAAACAAGCTCCAAATAGCCCTAAGCAAAGTTGAAAAGTAGATAACCATCTCTTGGCCCGCCCACCTCTTTTATCAATATCCATCTGCTCTCTTAGGAGGAATTACTAATCTTCATCTTAGCCACCATTTATTGAGCATTACAGTATGCCAAGCAGTGGGCTGTTTATATGCCCCATATGAGTTCTGTGAGTTCGATTGTTTTCCTCTTTTCACTAGTGATAAAAGACAACATTGAGGCTTAGGGGGTGAAGGGACCCGCCAGCAGTCACAGAGCCAGGAGAGGCAGACTCGGGACTCACCCAGGTGTGGGCCATGAGAAACGCACCTCCCCTTGGCTTACCTTTTCTCATCCCTGCAATGATAGCCCTTCAAAGGTAAAATCAGCAAATGCTTACTCTCAGCCAAGATGTTTAATGATTATGAAGGCTTTTACGTGAGGTACAGCTAAAACTGACTCTAAGCACTTTGCCTCTGCAGACGTTTTTATATTTTAAATGAGACTCAAAGACAAAGAAGCCATAGAGGTGGGACGATGGAGGAGGGTTATCCCTAAGGCCGAGGCTACCAAAGATTCCTCAAATCATCTCAGGGTCATGGCTATAAGCAGAGCATTCCACAGCACAGCTCTATGCACATAACAGACAATTATCAGCTGATTAAAACCCGGTAATGCTCTCATTACATGTAGGACAAACACACGTGAGAGCACAAAGACAGCTGCTTGGTTCACTTTAGTTTCTCCCATTGACTATCCACCAACTCCACATCTGTATCGGCACCTTCGAAATGTCCTTTGTTTCCAGATCAGGGTTTTTTTTGTTTTAGCTTTTATACAACACTTGGACTTTATACTTTAAGGAAAATGAGAACATGTCCTGTAGTTTTTGGAAAATTATGTATGGCTTTATTTTGTCCGTGTCTGGAATGAACGGGCGGGAAAGTGAGCTTGTCAATTTTTTTTTTTTTAACCAAAATGCCTTTCTGATGTTTTTGTCTTGTTTGTCCTTCATCACAATTTTAGTGCAAACGTCCTTTTGGATGACCAGTTTCAACCCAAACTAACTGATTTTGCCATGGCTCACTTCCGGCCCCACCTAGAGCCTCAGAGCTCTACCATCAGCGTGACCAGCAGCAGCAGTAAACATCTGTGGTACATGCCAGAGGAGTATATCCGACAGGGCAAGCTCTCCACCAAAACGGACGTCTACAGCTTTGGAATCGTGAGTACCAACCACCAGCTCACAAAGGAGAAGAGTTTTATCACCAAGAAGGCTCTAAATCCTAACAATGTTATAAAGGCTTTAACTTTTAGATCTATTGATTTCCTGTTACTCATTATCTTATATGTTTGTTTTGTGTAATCAATCAGTAATAAAATATTATGAAGTCATTCAGTGGAATGAACTATATTCATTGTTACGGTTCATAGTAACAACTAATTATGTATATATATTTTAATGTATGTAGCTGACATCCTATGTATTATTTGTAGGTAATAATGGAAGTTCTGACAGGCTGTAAAGTGGTGTTGGATGAGCCAAAGCATATCCAGCTGGTAAGCATTGTGTTCCTTTCTGCACCTATCTCTGCATCATTTTTCTGATAGAGTTCTAAATGCGGTTGTCTTCTCTTTCTAGAGGGATCTCCTTATGGAACTGATGGAGAAAAGAGGCCTCGACTCATGTCTCTCATTTCTAGATAAGAAAGTGTTTCCCTGTCCTCGGAATTTTTCTGCCAAGCTCTTCACGTTGGCAGGCCAGTGTACTGTGACACGGGCAAAATTAAGGCCATCGATGAATGAAGTGCGTATACCCATAGTTTTATGAAAAACTGAGCCCCATAGAAGCATGGAAAATCTAAATTGGATACTCTGTGTATCTAAGTGAATTCTTTATCAATGAGATAAATCCAGCCCCCCAAAGATAATTCTAATCTAATAGATAGGTTTTCCAGGTGAAAAAGTCACATCATTTGGTACCCTGGTAGAGGTCATTATTGGGTCAAACCAGGGCACCACAAAAAATGTAATGAAAAGACATGTGAGTAAGTTGGAGAGAATATTTTATTCAACCTTTATTAAGAGACCTGGCCCATTAAAAATGCAGTATGTATTTCTCTTATTGGTATTTTTTTTTCTTATGGGATTTTATTCATGGGTCCATCAATTTAATCATCCATTCATTTGTTTACAATAAACAAATATGTATTTAGTGCCTACCTTGCATGTACCAGACTTAGTGCTGGGTGCTGTGATACAATAGTGATCAAGATACAGTTACTGCCCTCAAGTCCAAAGGGAGATCAGATCAGTAAACATGGAATTCAGTGCAGAGAGATAAGCATAACTGTAGATGGGACCACAGAGTCAGAACACATTCTAGCCTTTGGAAGTCAAAGAAGCTTCTTGGTGGAGGTGACAACTGAGCTATGACCTGAGGAACAGGTTGGATTCAGGTAGCCTTATGGATTGAAGGATAGTCCAGGCAGAGAGAATGTGCACCTGCAAAGGCTCATAGGGGATGGATTTCATGTTGATAAGAGTCCAGGTAGCTCTGTATCGTGGAAGTGGAATGATGGTGAGGGAAAAGGTGGAGTGGTTATAGCAATAGAAGGTTCCAGGTGACTCAGGGCATGAAATCTAGGAGTTTGGGTTTTATCCTGAGTCCATCGTAGAGCAGTGGAAGGGTTTTAAACACGAATTGAAATAATCAGAACATAAAAAGCACTAGCCTGGGAGTCAGGAGAGCTATATTCTAGGCCAGGGGTCAGCAAACTACAGCTCACGAGCCACATGCGGCTCTTTGGATACATACATGTGGCTCTGAAATAAAATTGAAAATGAAAATAAAACTATCATAGTTTCATTTATCTAATTTTTAAAGGATATTATTCACATAATGGTGGTTATGTAAAAATATATTTATGCTTCTTGAATAATTTTTAAATTGTTGTGAGGGACAGGATTGACTCTTCCAGGGGTTGGCAAACTTTTGAGACGGAACGTATGTACCCAAAAAGCCGCATATGGCTTGCGAGCTGCAGTCTGCTGACCCCTGTTGTAGGTCACCAGTAAGAGCTGTGTAACCTGGAATCTTGGTCCCAGAAAGGAGGGAACACACAACTGGGAGCCAGAGATCTGGGGTCAAGTACCAGGTCTGCCCCTTACTGACAAGTGATATCGATTCCCTTTTCTGAGCCTCACCCTTGTTATCTATAAAATGAGAAGAGTAATGTTGTTTGTGCAGACTGAGATGATTGTGTATGAAAGCACTTCATACATTGTAAAGCTCTCTGTATGCGTTTTTTTAAATTACGTGTGTGAGAAGGTATGTTACTCCATATCAGTTCTGCAGTTCTCAGTTTGGGCTGCACATCCAAATAAACTGGGAAGCTTTTAAAATACAGATTCCTGGGCCTCCACCTCCATATTTTTTGAATGACAATCTTTAGGTTAGGGCTAAGGGATCTGTATTTTAAGACTATTCCCCTACGTAAATCTGGCATTTGAGAACTACGGATTGAGTCCACCATCCCCTGACCCCTTTCAATCCTCTACATATTAAGATTGAAGTCAAAAAACGATAAGAGTTTCACCCAACGTCACAGAGTAGTGGGTGGCAAACCTAGGCCTAAAGTCAGGTCTCTTGATATTTAATTCAGTGTAGTTTCTTTTATACTTTGCTTCAAATCACTTAATTTACTCATTAAAATGAAGGGGCTTAGCTAATCTCGAACCCATTCTCTTTCATAATTCTATAGAACTTATTTCACGAATGTAAGAGAATATGCCTTAAGAGGCAGACAAAAAAAAAGTAAAAGGAAAGGTTACTCAAGCTTGACTCGATGTTTGTTTGCTTCTTGGTTATTCAGGTCCTAACTACTCTTGAAAGTTCTCAGACCAGCTTATATTTTGCTGAAGACCCTCCCGCCTCCCTCAAGTCCTTCAGGAGTCCTTCTCCCCTCTTCCTGGACAACGTACCAAGTATTCCCGTGGAAGATGATGAAAGACAGACTCATCATTCACCGCTTCACGATAAACATTTGAGAAAAGACAGACTAACTCAGAAGACTCCCTTTGAATGCAGCCAGTCTGAGGTTACATTTTTGGGCTTTGAGAGCAACACAGGAAATAAGAGAAATGAGGAGGCTTGCAGCATACCCAGTTCTTCCTGTGAAGAATGTTGTTCTCCAAAGCATGCAGCTCCATCCCAGGACTCGAAGGCCTGTGGCATGCATATGGACCCTTCTATAGAAGCTCTAGGCCGTTCCCGCAGGAGCAGGTCAGTGGAGGCTAACTGTTCCTCCGAATCTTTCTGGAATGAGTGTGAACAGTACAAAAAGGAATCCATTTCACCAGCAGATAAAGAAGATGGCAGGTATTACCGAGACACCTGAGTACAGGGACCACCTTGGGAAGACATTGTCTTCATAAGTAACGCCAAGAGGACGGTCAGTGGTGAGTTTGGGTAGAGCAGAGCAACAATCTGAGCAACCCTGTTCTCTTTTTTTCCAACTCGCAGAACAGAGTGACCTTAAAATTTGTTTTATCGGGAAATTGCCTCCTGATCAAACGTAGGCTTAAACTAGAGCCGTTCAAAATTACGTAAGATCATGGGCTCTGACTGCAGACAAACAAAACAATCAAAACCTACCAAGAAGAGCCTGGATTCTAACATCTTCATTAACATTTATATGAGTCCTCAGAGCCTCTAGTCAGCCAAGTATGTTCAATTCAGTTGGATTCTATTGTTTGGTTTAGGTTGCTTGAGAAGATTGTAGGAAACATCTAATTTGTAAATATGAATAGATGCCCTTTAAAGAATTGCCTTTTCATATATTTTGATTGACCTTTGGTATTTTTCTGTACATCCTGTGAAACCTGCCTGTCTGAAAATGAGCCAGGTTCACCCCTGGCTATGACATGTTCGGTGTAGAGAGGAGATTCTTGCCCAAGATCTGTATTTAAACTCTTAGGATATTTATCACACATATATGGTTGTTGGCTGTTGTTACAATCTCTTTTGTCCAAACTTAGAGACCTATTATATCTTGAGTGGAGTGTATAAAATCTTAAGTAATTTTTGTTCTGAGAAAATGGCTGGTCATAAGAGCCTCGGTCAGCTTTTTGTTTGCTTCTATACATTCCAACTCTGTGCCTTTACTCCTGCTGTTTACTGGATCTCTCCACCTTTGAAATCTTGCCCAATCCTTCAAGGCCCAGCAGAACTGCCATCCTTCTGGAAGCTTCCCTAATCTCTCCAGCCAGAAGTACTTCCTTTATCAGTATTTCCATAGCAATTATTTTTGTATTTCTATTTTATACTAGTCATTTTCTGAATTATATCAAAGTTGCTTGTGCCATCTTCTCTCTCTTACTAGACCATAAACTCCTGTATTAGCTTCCTATTGTTGCTGTAACAAATGATCACAAATTGAGTGGGTTAAAACAATATAAATTAATTATTTTACAGTTGTGGAAGTCAGAAGTCCTTAACATTCCCCTAGAGGCTTTAAGGGGGACAAGTCATTCATTTACCTATTCAAGCTTATAGAGGCCACCGGCATTCCTTGCCTCATGGCCTCTTCCTTCACCCTCAAAGCCAGCAATGTAGCATCTTCAAATTCAGATCTCTCCCTTTCTCTGACCCCTCCTTCATCACCTCTTTCTCGTACGTTGGCCCTCTTGCCTCGTTCTCATAAGGATACTTCTAATTGCATTGGGCCTACAAGATACTCCAGGAAAATCTCTGCATCTCAAGATCCTGAATTTTATCACATTTGCAATGTCCTTTTTCTCCTGTAAAGTGATATATTCACAGGTTTCAGGGATTGGGACATGGACATCTTTGGGGGACCATCACTCTATCACATTCCCTGAGTCTGTAGGGGCCATCTCTTCAGGGCCTAGTATGTCATTCTGTACAGATCAGGTGTTTCCTTATAAATTAAGTTGAATTACATTATCTCTATGAACCCACATAATAAAAAATTCAACTACAGTGAGCATTGTTGAATAAATTAATGAAGTGGGAATAATGACTGTCTTTATGATGATGCATAGGAACACTCCAAGAAAACCATGTCCAGAGGATTTACAGGGTAGACGTCTAGCTTTCTGCGCATCGGAGGAATAGGCACATGCCTTTTTTTTTTTTTTTTGGTGAGTCAGTACAGTGGGGTTAATCATAGTAGCATTAGTGTTCAGATTCAAGAACAACTAATCAAAGAAAGAAGTCATCAGCAATCAGGGTCAGGTTAGCAGACCAAGGTTAGAAACATGGAGCTATAATTCTGGGAAAAAGGATCTCATGGCAGGAAGTGAGGTTCAAAACACAATAAACCTTAGTCTGATTGACAGGCCCGAAAAAGGCCCCAGGTAAGTAGTTGTGAGGGGTTGTGCTCACAGAATGGTCTGCAGGGGCTCTGGCTGTCCAGTGCCGTCTACCCCGTCTGATCATGACATATGTGTTCACAATGCTCCCAAACTGTCCTTGTGCTAAGACTAGTGGGGGTAAGGGTGGGGCTTGACCTCATATCTTTTATTTTTTTAAAGATTTTTATTGGGGAATTGGGGGAGGGAATAGCGTTGGGGAATTGGGGCAGGGGAACAGACAAGTTGCTGTCCTTTTGTTCTTCAGTCTAGTTGTGGAGGACGTCGCTTCACTGGCCCAAGTTGGCACCATCATTGCGCTCTTCCCAGGCGAGGCAGATCAGTCACCGGCTTCTGGACGGCCGCTCACTGCGGCTGCTGTCCGCTCACGCTGGCTGCTGGCTACACACGGTAGCCCATGGCAACCCACTGCAGCAGGGGCTGCAGCCCACGCCATCGCCGGTGACTCACGGCAGCCCAGCTGTTGTTCAGCATCTTAGCTGTAGAGGGCAGTGTCATTGGCCCTCATATGTGGGATCCGAACCGGGGCCTTCTGGTGTCCCAAGCCAGCTCTTAACCAACGCGCCACTCGGCCGGCCCACCTCATATCATTTTAATTCTTGTGACCTGTCCTAGTTGGCAACGCTTGTTATACATATTAATGAAAACAAGCAGTAAAAGTCTTTGGTATTTGGCTTTATATATAGCAAACCCTTCCAAGGCTGATTTAGCTTATTTAAGAGATGCAGTTCTGAAAGTGTTTTGGCCGAATTGGGCAAATTAGCCTGGAATTGAGTGAAGCTGCCACTAAAATTCAAATGAGGTAATCAAGATAATCAAGAATTGACTCCATGTTAAACTGCTTTTCACTTTGAATCTGGACCCCCAGTACCTTCGATGAAAGGTCATTAAGGAATCTCTGATTAATCCCAGGCCTGCTCCATTACTCAGCACATGTGTAATCTGTTGGTTTTTATGTTGATTTGAACTTGCTTATTGGACTTAAGGCAGTGTTTCTCAAACATTACTGTGCACTAGAACAATGTGGGAGGCTTGTTAAAAACGCACATTGCCGGGCCCACCCACTCTGATGCAGTAGGTCTAGGGTTAGGAGTTTGGCTTTTAGCAAGTCCCAGACGGTGCTGCTGCTGCTGATGTGCAGGCCCCTCAGAGCCACTACCTTGAAGTGTTCTCAGATTGTTCTAGATCAGGGGTCAGCAAACTTTTGAGATGGAAGAGCCAATCCTGTCCCTTGAAGTTTTGTGAGACCTATAAAACAAATGAAATCACCATTATATGAATAATGTCCTTTAAAATTTTTATAAATGAAACTATGATAGTTTTATTTTCATTTTCAATTTTACTTCAGAGCCACATGTATGTACCCAAAGAGCCGCTTGTGGCTCACGTGCCGCAGTTTGCCGACCCCTAGTCTAGATCAGTAGGTTCTATCTTTCCATCTAGGTTGTACGTGTTTTGAAAGAAATATCATTTCTTTCAATTCTTTTATATTTACCATGTTACCTAGGATTTTGCTTAGCAAAGAGTAAGAGCTCTAAAAATCTTGTTAATCAATGATCGCTGTGACTAGATCGCCTTGCTAGGGGGTGACAATTTTGGATGACATCCAAAGGACCAAGTTGGATTAGCTGACAATAACCTGAATAATAATATGGTGAGCACATGCGACTTTGGCTGGAAATGACCAATTTTCTACTGAGTGATCCAGTCCTCCTGACTAGATGTGCCTTCTAGTGGGTGTGTCCATAAATGTTAATTTATCGGAATTGCATCTTCCATTCCGCCATGGGCAATGAGGGATAGATACCTTGTGGTTTCATGATGTAGAGATTAAGATACGTGAAGAAGCCAATCATGAACCTCCAAGCGTTCCCTCTGATCAACAAAGATGAATTAGTAAAGAATTTCACTCATCTTCATCCTTCTAAGGCACTGTGGGCAATCCTCTAAGCAGATCCTATTTACTTGTTAGGGTTTTTGTTCCATTTTATAATGCCCGAACACATGGAGAAAATATTTTGTTGTTTTTGAAAGTAGGTTTGAGATTTCTGACATAATCTACTTTTATTAACTTCTTGAGGATTGTTATAATGACCCGTGACTTGCTGCATAATAGCATAGTTTTCATGCAGTGGTACATCAGCCTGTGTCAAGCAACTTTTATGACCTGAGATACAGTGAGCATAGGAAGCGAGGGTTATCCTGAGTAGCATTTATTAAGCTTGTTTCAGAATCAAAGCACTGTATTGGCTATGAGGATACCGAGTAAGGAAGAAAAGGCATTTACCCCGGTTTAGAACTGGATGCCTCGCCACTCACTGACTGTGTGACCCTGAGCAAACTACTGTAATCTGTTTATGCCTTGGATTCCTTATCTGTAGAATGGATAATATCTGTTTTTTAAAAATCTGTTGTAAGGAATAAATGAAATAATGTAAATAAAGTACCCATTAGAATGCCAGACAGAGCTTAAATAGTCAATACTTTTATTACAATGAATCACTGCTCTTAGGTCCACAGGAATTCAAATGCAGACATGCTGGGCTCTGAAGGAGCAGTTTCTGGAGGTCTGTAAGTAGCTTTGCCAGGCCAGCTCTGACTTCAGGAAGCACGGTGGGGTAGCAGAGCGAAGGATGGCCGGGTTTGGGGGTAGCTGTTGGCTGGGAGAGAAGTGGGCACTTATCAGAGGATTCCAGGCCCGAGCTGAGCTTTAGGCAGTAGGATACCGAGGCAGGGATGAGGTTGAGATACCTTTCTGAAATAGAATCAACAAAATGTGTTATCAATTAGAAGTGGGGAAATGAGGGACAGGGAGGAATTGATGACAGTGGGAGATTTCTATCCTAGGGAAATGGTGGAAGTAGCACTTTTCACTAAGATGCAGAATAAAAGGAGTCAGTGGGGTAAGTGCTAAAGACGGGTGGTTAAAAAAAAAAAGTTTGGTGACTTCTGTTTTATTTGAACCACAAACGGGTGGAACTGAATATAAGGACTGAAAGGGTGAGGACAAGGCAGAGATTAGTGTGCACTTTCAAGAAGGTAAGAGAAGCTTGCCAGAAAAAGAGAAGGGAGTAAGATAAATAGAAAAGCATACCCAAGAAGCACTCCAGGATGGCTATCCAGGGAATTGGGGGCCCACAACTCTACCAGAGCTCTGTATAACCCCAACTCTTTCGGAAGATTGGGGTAAAGGTGAAGGAAACTGGGTCCAGAGCTTTGTATGGTTTTTTTATTTTGTTTTGTTTTTTTTCCAGTTTAAGCCTCACAGCCAGTCTGAAGGTATGAATTCCATTCTACACAATAGGAAACTGATTCAGGGAAGTTAAGGAAATCTGAGGTCTTCCCAGATCTGGAAGAGCCAGGATTTGAATCCAATTCTGTCTGACTTCAAAACCCCTCTTTCTTATACTCAACATTGCACGAAAGAAGCCACTGTAGGTTCAAGCTCCTATCGAAACAGATGGATGTGATGTCATTTATTGATTCCACATATTTTCAGTAGGGCACAAGTTATGTTTTCTGCCTTTCTCATTATCCTGCTCCTCTGTTGCAGTTACCCACCTTTGCAGTCATTTGATGTGAATTCAGTGAATTCATCCCTCCCTCTCTCCCTCCCTCCATCCATCCATCCATTGAACAAATATTCATCAACAGCCTCCTTTGTGTCGGGCACTGTTCTTGGAGCTGGGGATTCGGTGAAGATCAAACCTCACAAAAATCTGTGGTCTCAGGGAGCTTACCTGTGAGTGCATAAATGAATGAGCGAGTTAACAGGACATGCCATAGGAGAGTTTTAATCTCAGCTCTTAACACTAACTGGCAGCTCTCCATGAGACCAGCCGCATGGAGCCATCTCAGAGTGTTGTCGAGACATAGACCCTGGCTTCTCTGCCATCTGCTCTGTAGGGGTTCAGAGAGATTTTCTCCTGGTTCTGTTGTATAGCTGATATCGCCTCACTTTGTTAGGAGTGTGCACCAAGCAGCCTATGGCATGCTTTGTGTCAGTCATGACAGATCCTATTCTTCCACTGACCTTTGATTCTTCAGGGCATTTATTTGGCCACCAAAGACATCTTCATTTCGCATCTCCTAATAAGCCTGAAGCCTCTACACGTGCTTCACCTCGCTGTCACTCCACAATGGAATTGCCTGTTGACTCCTCTCTTCTCTCCCACAAAATTAAAACTTACCTGGGGGCAGGGCTTCTATCCTGCTCATTGCTGTGCCCCTAATAGCTAGTGCACTGCCTAGCACATTATATGGCCCGATAAATATTTGTAAAATGAATGAATCAGTCCTTTAAAATATCTTCAAAATCATTGATATATAGTGTATCAAGACTATTACCTGATTGCACCCAAAGTGTGTCTTCCTAATATCCATACTATCATCAGTCCATTGCTTAAATGATTCCATGGTGAGATTCTTGGGTAAAAATTATTACTTTCAAATATTAATATCTGACATATATTTGAAAAGAGGAATTAGACATTGTGTACATTGCTTATAAATTTGCTTTATAGTAGAAAATATTCCCAAACCATGTCTAAGCAATGATAAACCAACATTCTGACAGGGAATAAACTGGTGTTTGTTGTATTTTGTTTG